GTGCCCAACTGCCCACAGCCTGAGTTGGGCCTATGCTGCGAATCTCGCCCAGGGCCTGACTCAGATGCATTTGATAAAGGAGGCCAGGGCCTGGGCGCTTCCAACCAACTGGTGCTGCGTAGCTGCCTGAATTTTCCCCAGTTGCGAAGTAGTCCAATATAGGCCTCTTAGGGTCTGTCGGGCCTGCCTTCAGTTAGGGCGGCTGACATTGTTGCAAATAGGGGCCCGGTAGGGCTTATCGAGGCCTTGTGCCTCGCATTCCCTCCTCCATACTTCGCTAGTCCTCTGAGAAGTTCAGTCTTCGATAATCTGGCGCTTTCCTTTCCATTGAGTCTTCTCATAGTGAGCGAATACCTGTGGAGGGGTCTGCGTCAATTCCTCCCTTGTGAACCATCTGTCCTCTTTCGGATCAGTGTGACGTCTGAACCGAACTCGTTACTGCAGCTTCGGTTTCGGAGGACGTCCTCTGCCTGTTGGTCTTGAAACTGGCATCTCCCTGTGGTCAACAATGTCGTCGATGTTGACCTCTCCATCCATGGTTGGGGGCAGCACAGAACGACGAGAGGGAAACTGGTCAGTTTCCTTGAATGGTGCCAGCTTGGAGGTGTGAAAGACAGGGTAAGTGCGGAGATGACCAGGGATCCGAATGACATAGGATGGCCCGTCCGGTTCTTCCCCAACAACATCTAGAACCTCCCATGGTCCAAAGTACTGTGGCATGAGCTTACAGGAGATCCCGTGCTCCTGTCCCAGTTCTGAGGATTTTACCCAGACCCTGTCCCCTACCTGAAATGTAGAAGGACGGCGGTGCTTGTTCTCAATTTCTATCATTGCCGCCGGTGCCTTGTGCATCTGTTCTACTGTCTGCTGCATCAGTTGTTCATAGCGATAGGCAAATGCCGGGTGCAGCAGTCGATTGATTGTCAGGTAGCAGAAAGTCTAAGGGCAGTCTGGGCTTGAAAGTCAGTAGCAGACTATTAGGACTTACTCCAGTTGCACTGTGCACAACATTGTTATACAGGCTGGCGATGAGAGCAAGTTTCTCATCCCAGTCCACCTCATTGGGCTTGATGTAATGCCGCAACAGGTGTTGAACAGCGCAATTGAGTTGCTCTGCTTGGCCATTGGCCTTGGGATGGTTCCCAGAAGTCATCTGCAGCTGTGTCCCCTGTTCTGCAGCTGCAGCCTTCCACAACTCACTTGTAAATCGGACATCCCTGTCACTGACAATGGACTTTGGGAGCCCAAAGTCTCTGACCCAGTTCTCTTTGAAGAGTCTAATCACATACTCGGTCTTTGCTGTCTCCGACACTGCAACTAACCTAGCGTACTTACTAAACCTATCCGCTATAACAAAAATGTGTCTCATTCCACTCTTGCTGGTGACCAGCGTGTCCATGAAGTCCATAGACAGGCTCTCACCGGGCCTTTCCGAAATCGGAAGGGGCTTGAGGAGCCCAAGAGGGGACTGTATACGGGCTTGTCTCTCTGACAGACCTGACGAGTTTTCACGTACAGCTTGGCATCTCTCATCATCGTGAACCGCTGCAGCAGATTGGCTGCA